GTGTCCCTGTGCTCTCTGCTTTCCGTCTGTGTGTCCCTGTGCTCTCTGCTTTCCGTCTGTGTGTCCCTGTGCTCTCTGCTTTCCCTGTGTATGTATCCCTGTGCTGTCCGCTTTCACTGTGTGTTCCTGTGAACTCTGTTTTCCCTATGTGTGTGTGTGTGTGTTTTCTTGTGCTCTCTGCTTGTCCCTGTGCTCTCTCTGTCTGTTTCCCAGCTGTTGACATGTTTGCGTGTGGCCTGTGGGTTGTGGGACCTGTGAAATACTAGGGAATCATACTAGGGAGTTAGGAGGACACCTGCAGGCCAGGCCTGTCACCGCAGCCTGACACAAGGCTGAGTGAAACTTTGTCTCCCGAAGGTCCAACAGCGGCTCCAACAGTGGAGACAGCCAGGTCCCATCCACCTCTTCCGGCTACAGTGACGGGAGCTCCGCCCCCACTTTGAATGGGGGCAGTGTCTCCTCCCCAGAGCACCGCCCCCCCAGCCCCCAGGGCGTGCCGACACCTGACGAAGGACAGGTCTCCAATGGCACTGGTGAGAGCGCCATGACCAGCTCGCGTTGTGACAAGATTCAACGCCAAGCATGGCTTACCTTCTGCCAGCAACAACACGATTGTTTCATCTCCTGGTGTGTGGTTCAGAGCTGGAGGCTGGCTGCCATTCAGAGAGCTGTTTATCTCTTTGCAGCCACATGGCATCATGGGAAATTGGGAAATGGGTCGATGACTATATGGAGACTATATGTAGTCTCACGGTATAACATGACAGCATAATGCTGGTATTTGACTGCAATGCAGTTGGTGTCGCCTTTGACATGATGTCGTAGAGACACTGCTAAATTGTGGGTCAGAGGCTGGGTAACGCATCAGTGTTGTTGACACACCGAGCCTTGTTTAAAGAGAGCGGTCCCAACTGCAAGCAGCGGTGGGAGTTTAGAATCTGCCACGTGAGTGTAAGCCGATACCACCCTTTTCGAGCTGCATGGACACTGACAGCGGCAGGCCATTTGACGCAGTCCCGCGGGGGGTCCCCATCAATCCCAGCTATCGGTGTGGTCAGGAGCTTCACGAACTGCTGAGCAAACCAGACTAAGATGGCGAGCCCCCTCTCCCTTAAGTCAGAGAAGGGCAACTGCCTCTCGGATCCAATGAGCACAACCAGCAGACTAAAGTCATTATCAGTAAGCAGTACACATGAAGAATTTCAGCGTGCTGCCAACTGCTTAGAGGCCAGAGGATTAACCGCAGCACTAAACACTATGCTAACCTCAGTGCTCTTAACAGAAACTGGAAAGCTAACCTCAGTGCTAACCACAATGCTAATGTCGGTGTTCCTCACAGAAGCTAGAAAGCTAACCTCAGCGCTGACCACAATGCTAATGTCGGTGTTCCTCACAGAAGCTAGAAAGCTAACCTCAGCGCTGACCACA